AAATAAATATTTTGTATATTATTTATATATATATATAAAAATACAGGTATATAAATCTATCTCAGTTTTGGTGACCAAAAAAAATTTAGTAGCAACAAATTAGTTATTTGCTACTAAATATTTGGTGGCTAATTATTTCAAATACCTTTCGCTACTAAAATTTTGGTACTTGAATCTTGTACTCTTCGTTACTAAATACATTTTGCTACAAAAACTTTGGTCCTTAAATCTCATACATTTTGCTACCAAATACAATTTGCTACCAAATATTTAATCCCTAAATCTCACGGCTTTCGCTACTAAATACCTTTTGTTACCAAATATTTGGTGACTGAATCGCGTACCTTTTACTACCGAATATATTTTGCTACCAAAATTTTAGTGTCTTAAATCTCACACTTTTTGCTACCAAAAACTTTTTGCTCCTGAAATTTTCGGTCACCGAATATCATACATTTCGCTACCAAATACATTTTGTTACTAAAAAATTTTAGGTAGCAAAAACTATTTGCTACTAAAATTTTGGTAACTAATACTTATACTACGCACTTATTGCTACTAAAATTTTTTGGTAACAAAAACATTTTACTACCAAAAACAGGGCTTTTAGTTACCAAATTTTTTGTAACAAAACATTCAAATTCTTGGTAGTGATTTGCCACTCATAAAGACTTGAACGAGTCTCTTTGAAGCTCTATGTTTTTCTTTCTCCATTAGTCTTCTTGTACTTTATTATTTTCACAACATCTTTTGAATCTTGTCCTTCATGTAATCAGCCGTTTAAGCATGTATAAATAAATACAGCTCCTATATAACTCTTATAAGCTGAGACAATGCTCGGTAGCAAGAAGGATGAAGTTGTTAAGGTTTTCGTGGTTATTTTGGATCCTAATCATTGTTCTTCTCTTCAATCCACAGTCCACTGATCGCTATGGCTGGTATGTATGAATCTAATAACTAAAAATATATTATAGATTTTTTTCATTTAGGATTGGTAAAATGATTTTTTTTACGTAAATTTTTTTACAACTGGTAAAAAGATTTGTTTCTATGAAAATAAAGATTTTTTACCATACAAATTATTTCTACTAATCGTAAATGAAACATTTACAAGATAAACTACTATTTATTTCAAATAATTTTTAAACTTTACTATTTACGTTAATTATTCTCAATAAATCTGTTATTCACTTCATCCTCCTTTTTTTCAATTACATTTCCGGCAAAAGTATTTATGGTTGTCCGTCACTAACACGTGGGGCCTCTTGATAGAGAAATGCAACATTAGCACTTCCATTCACATTTCAAACAATGGAAATCGTCTCAGCAGTGGAGAATAAATGAAAAGTTATCAAAGTTCAAAGTATAAATAGAGTTGATCATTGACCAAAGTAGAGTTCTCTCATCTTCCGTGTAGTTTCACATGAAAGTTCACGTAGAATGATAGTTGATTATACTTTTTTTTTCATTAATCTTCCATTTTATACTATTGTCATTCATGTAATCTGCCGTTTAAGCATGTATAATTACAGCTCCTATATATGACTCTTACAAGCTGAGACAATTAGCCGCTCCGTAGCAAGAGGGATGAAGTTGTTAAGGTTTTCATGGTTATTTTGGATCCTAATCAGTGTTCTTCTCTTCAATCCACCTTTCGGTGATCACTCTGGCCGGTATGTATGAATCTATTAACTAAAAACATATTATAGATTTTTTTTCATTTTGGACTAGTAAAAGATTTATTCACGTAAATTTTTTTTACAATTGGTAAAAAGATTTGTTTTCATGTGAATAAAGATTTTTTTCTATATAAATTATTTTTATTAGTCGTAAATGAAACATTTACACGATAAACTGTTATTTATTTTAAATAATTTTCAAACTTTACTATTTACTGTAAATCTGTTATTCACTTCATCCACCTTTTTTTCAATTACATTTCCAGCAAAAGTATTTCTGTTTGTCCGTCACTAACAAGTGGGGCCTCTTGATAGACAAATGCAAAATTAGCACTTCCATTCACATTTCAAACAATGGAAATCGTCTCAGCAGTGGATAAATAAATGAAAATTTATCAAAGTTCAAAGTATAAATAGAGTTGATCATTGACCAAAGTAGAGTTCTCTCATCTTCCGAGTAGTTTCCCATGAAAGTTGATTATACTTTTTTTTTCATTAATATTTTATTTTACACTAGTGTCCTTAAAGTAATCAGCCATCTAAGCATGTATAAATACAGCTCCTATATAAGTCTTACAAGCTGAGACAATTAGCAACTCGGTAGCAAGAGAGATGAAGTTGTTCAGGTTTTTATTGTTATTTTGGATCCTAATCATTGTTCTTCTCTTCAATCCCCCGTCGGATGATCGCTTTGGCCGGTATGTAGAGACGAATTTGAATTTACAGTGGCTCGGTTTAGAATTAATCGATTATTATGACAAAATCTTTGTTTTGTTCTTTCAGCAGGCTGCTGATCATTGGGTGCAGCGCAGGTCGAGCAGACCCTGGTTCTTCTTTGCGAGCAGCTGGTCCACCTCCGCCACAGCGGGATGCTGGAAAAATTCCTCATCGATGATTTAAGGAATATGCTTTCTTGTAAATCGTCTGGGATTAAGCACAACTCTGATGGAAAGTAAAACGCATCTTAGGTTACTGCATAATGCTATTATTATTTTTGTTTTACTGATCACTAAATAATGTTATGGATACAAATTCTCATTTGCCACGTTATTCATTTGATGTTCTGAACTGATACACAAGGTACGGAATAGTTAACTTTGGATGTTTACATGTTTAAACTAACTGTATCTGTATCACATTAAGCAATTAAGAAGCTGGAAAGAAATCTACATGGAAGCCTGAGAAACGCGTGTAAGGTTTGATTTGAAAAAATTATTGTTAAGCCTAGTCATAGAGAGTATTTCTATAGCTTTTAGATTAACAACACTTTTCTGAATAATTTTATTAACAAAATTATCCCTGAAAATAAAAAATGACTAAAAATATTTCTAAATTCAATTCTAAAAAAAAAAAAACATAAAAATCTCTCTAGCTAAAATTTCTCCTAAAAATCAAGGTAGTTTTCCTAGTTCAAATACAAGCTGTTTGACTAGGTCATAGAAAACCTCACGTAATATAAGGCACCCCAAACCAACGTGGACCATGAGTAGTGGCCTTAAGAAAATTTTAAATGTCTTTTAAATAGTACTAGTTTGATAATGTGCTCCACCCGTGTAACTATGTGGGATTAGATAGAAAAAATTAAATAGATGCACATTTTAAAAATTATTTTAACATGAGCAAGTGAGTAAAAAATCATATCAAATAAGAATTACACTATAGCGGTGCTTTTAGTAAAAAGAAAAGAAATAAGTAAGGACACATTTTAAAGAAATTATATATGTTAATAGCAGCAAAGTACTGGGAAAAAAAGTATTTAAAAAAACGTTGTAGTGACTCAATTGTAGAGTACTTTTTAGGAAAAAAAAAGAAAAAAATAAATTGGGAAAGAAAAAAAGACAAAAAAAAATAATAAAAAAAGTAAAAGAAAAAAAAGAAAAAAAAATAAGAGTTGACACTTGTCAAGTAGAAGAGAGTGAATGGAAAAAGACTTTGATTCTTATATATATGTTAAATAAGATTAAGATTAAAATAAGGATTTTTTCTTATAGTCCTGGAAAAGTGGCTGATTTAATGATCTATTTTTAAATAAATGACAATGGTTTTCATATATTAGCCATTCATGATTATATTAGGCCATCACCCCTAAAAGGAAATGTATTAACTTTTTTTCATCCGTTTCTCTCTCATCGTGCTCAACCGGTGTGACGTCATCAGAATTCTCTACGAAGACCAGCAGACCGATCGATTAAAGTTAAATGAGAAGGGAAAACAGAAATGGGTTAAAATTGGAAACCCAAAAAAGAAATATAAAAAAAAGCTATATATATGAAAGAAATGGAGACTGCAGTTAAAGCTATGAGTGACAATTTTATTCCACATACATATATCCTTGAGATGACATCCATCAAAACTTATAAATGACTTGCATCGCTCTATAAATGCAATTTTGCAAGCCTTTGAACACATGAACATGATCTCTTGAACACCAAGGGCGATGTTGGTCTCTCTAGCTGTTCCAACAAAATGGTTTGTCTTCTTTCATCAGTAATATTACCAATGACTTTAGTCTCCACTATTTCATCACTTCTAGGATTCTTAGAAAGAACCTTTTTGTAGTAGCACTTGGAGCTCAGAATTCAGACGGGGAATTTCGCAGGCCTTAAAGTTTATTTTGAATTTTAGAGAAGAAGAAGATAAGAAAAGAGAAAACTGCAGAACTTACCCTTAAGAGTGTATGAGTCTAAATTTTTACCCATCATTCTTAATTAATATCATTTTGCTAGTATATTTATTTGACTAAAATGCTTATTAATCAAGAGAAAGTGGTAGAAATCTTGACCCTACGCACTTTTAAAGGGTATTTGTCTCATTTTCCCTTTAGAAAATCATCAAGTTGGGCCTATAAAGGTTTTAGAAATAAACCAAATTAATTTGCTTCAGTGTCTTAAGAATTAAGAAAAATAGTAAAAGATAAACCAGAAATTTTATATAAACTTATCAAATAATAAATTCTCTTAAAATAAATAAAGTCTAGCTGGACAGCTTTAAATTATAATCACAAGTCTCATACCAAATTACCGACAAAAAACATAAAGTTTGAAAACACTCAGTGACCTACTGGAAAGTATTACTCTGCATCCATTAGTTATAGATGGAATAAATTAATATAGTGGTTGAACAACAAAAAAGTCTGACAATGATCTAAGACTCCAAAATTTTCGGAATCAGATTAGTGAGTGGCTGTTTCACACAAGTCGGTTCTAAAGGACCAAGAACTATAATAAGAACTGGAGGTGTTGGAGTTGTATAGGTGGGACGTGAATGTTTGTAGAGTTTTATTTTGGTAAGAGAGGAGATGGTTATAATAATATATATATATATATATATATATATATATATCGGTTTGAATAGCCATAGAGGATGTAGTTGGGACTCAGAAACTTCTTCACATAGGTCACGTTTTAGAATCAAATTACCTGATATAATGTTTTGCCTGCATATCATAAAAAATGAAATTCAACAGGTTCGTTGTAAACAACATGACGAAAAGAAGAGAAATGAGAGAGAGGAGGAAGAAATTAGGAGAATATTGAGAAGTTTTATAATGGATCTTTTTTCTTTTTTCCTTTTTTTTTTTGTCATTTTACTAGTTCATGCCGAAAAAAAAAAAAAAAAAAAAAAAAACTAATTGTTAATATTGTATGACGTAAACTAGGTACTAAAATGTACTTTTAAAATATGTCAATACGTCAAATTTCTCCGGCTTGACTCTTCCCTCCTTCCCAGTCAAATAGGGGGAAAAAAACCACATTATAATGGTGGAGTTGAATGGACTGAGCCATATTCACGCACTGAAACAAGACTTGACCAAGTTAAAATGAAGATGCGTACCGGGAAGCTCTTTCAATGATCATTTGTTTTCATCTTCAACTATACCATATATATATATCTGTGTATGTGTGTGTGTTGTTTTCAAGCACTAAAAAAAAAAGTTGAATTAGTTATTTGTCTGGTTAAAAAGCTCGTTGTACACAATTAGTTGAGATACATCTAGCTCGGGAGCAAAATGAAGTCATTAGGGTTTTTCGTATGGTTATGTTGCATCGTAATCCTTGTTCTTCTCTTCAATCCCCCGCTTGACCGTCACTTTGGCCGGTATGATAACGAAATTTTTCGTTGAAAGTATGAACAATGAAAAGTACTTTTTAGAGACATGAAGATAGTACCTTGGTTTATACATAATTAATTCAATCAGTCACTTCATATCCATGATATGAAAATTTTATGTTGCTGAATTGCTTCTTCATTCTTGCAGGAAGCTGATGATGGGTCGCGGAGATGACGTTTCGGCGGGCTCAAATCCTTCGCCAATTGGGGGTCGTCAGGGTGGTCACTGATGAACAAAATAATGCATCACGGAATGGCCGATCTCTGCTATAAATCACTTTAAGAGTAGCAGATTATGTAAAGATCGTACGTTACGATCATGAAGTATTATCGACTTACTTCTAGCCTGAAATTGCTGAGACATTTAATAATGTGAATACTACTTTTTACCACAGAATATATAATATTTTAGGGATAACGACTTTTCAGTTTTCATTTTTGTCTTTGCCATATTACATGGTAGTTATAGCTATAGTCATAATATAACTGGATCTGTTATATGTACAGATTTATGTGTGTATGTATATATGTAGTTATGTAAGTACGTATAAGATCAACAGATACATTGAGAGGAACACGTTTCTTAAATTTTATCGCGTTTTGTTTAATTTCTAAGGTTGGTATGTTTTTTGCATCCTGTATGTCTTTTATAATTTAAGAACATGTACAAAATTCAAAAGCCATGCATCTTGTTTACACCTAAAGTTTGAAAAAACGTTAAAAATTTAGAAGCAACCATAAGCAATATACATTTATGCAAAAGCGTAAATAAATGCTTATGGGTTGAATAGAAAGAGAGCGCTTTGGCCATGACAGTACTGCTTTCGAGCAGATCGTTCCAGAACAAAACACATCGAGTTAGACCTTTATATTTAGTCTGAGAGAAAGTTCTCAACAAGACAATTATTTTTTTGATAATTACTCAATAATACAATTTTGGTTTCAACTTGAGATTTGTTAATATTCTAATTGATTTCTAATTATTTGATGATTTGTACATTAATTGTCAATTAGGTGTCATCAGTGAATGGAATGAAAATAATACTCTGATCTGTGAACGTAGGCGAATTACTGAACCACGTTAAAATCTTCGTGTTCTTTATGTCCTATTTTTTTGCTCTTTGTTTCAATTTGGTATCTAAGACGGCCATCCGAATCGTGCCGGTAACTACCACGCTGAAATCTGCTGCCAAACCACCATGTCCAAAGAGCCGCGCTTCCAAACCCAACTGATGAATCTAACGATCTTGAAAAACTCAGCAAACGAACCCAAATGTTCACAAGACTAGCGCCGCCTTCTATTCTTTTATTGTTCCTCCGTTTATTTGCTCCTCATTCATATGAAGGAAGCCTAATTTCCTTTTATTCTTATGCACGTGTGTTTATTTAGAGAAAAGAAAAAAAAAGGAAAAAAAAAAAAAAGGAATAGAAGAGAAAAGAGAAGAATAGAATGTGGAGAAGAAGAAAGAAAAGAAAAAATAAATATTAAAAACACAAAAAAAAATGATTGATTGAATAGAAAAGGGAATTGTATTGAGAAAAAAAAAATTAAAAAGGAAAAAAAGAAAATTGAAAAAAAAAAAATTATTGTGAGGTTTGAAATTTGTTTTTTGAAAAATTGAAATTGAAGCATGTGCTGTGAAGCTCATGTTGGTGTGAGCCTGGCATGTGAAGCTTTCAAAATTGAAGCATGTGATGTGAAGCTCATGTTGGTGTGAGCATAGCATGTGAAGATCAATATGCTGTGAAACTCATGTGAACTTGAGTCTGGTGTGTGATATTTTCAAAGTTATTCTTGAAGATTAAAGAAAGTCAAACCTCATTGAAGATTTGCCCAAAGCTTTATTTCTAAGTTGGTGCTTTGGAATCCGTGATTATTTTCGGATTTAAAAAAAAATTAGCATCAGCTTGAGTTGGTATGTTGGAATCCGATAATTGTTTCCAGATTTAGAGGTTTTGTTTCCTATTTGAAGCTTTATTTCCAAGTTGGTATGCACCAACTTGAG